TAGAAAGGTTTACACACAAATACGTCAGTCCAGAGGGACTTGTGATATGGCAAATGGAAAATGCCTTAAACTGAAAATGTAAGGGAATGGCATACTAATGAAGAATATATCCATCAAGAAAGTGTTCATGAAGTATATGTAACAATATGGAAAATATGACTTAATGTATGGTAGAAAAGATTTTATAAGTAGTATGATTAGATTTTTATATGATTAGATTTTTTTAAAAGTTGCTTTTACATTGTAAAAAGAAGACTGAAAATTAATACAACAAAACTATCATCAATTGGAGTAGTATAGGGTAGTGGTTAATGAGATGGGCTTTACCAACAGAGTTAGATTCCCAACTTTGTCATTACTTGCCCTTTGATCTGAGACAAATAAGTCAATTACTCTCTGCCTCAGTTATCCATTTGTAACAATAAGTGAAAAACAGTGCCTATAGTTTAGAGTTGTAAGGATTTGATGAGTAAAATGCAGGTAAAACAGTCATAAGAGTGAGCAGCTGATAGTAAGTACCATATCTATGTATTCTGTTGTTATTATTACAGTTATTATCAATAGCATCCAATGAAGCAAGAATGGTAGAAAAGGGCCAAGAGCTGCCAGTTATAGGATTGGATGTCTAAATGTACTTAGCGGCTAATGATGACGTGAGAGTAAGGCCAGAAATTAATCCATCTTATTCTTTTTATTGACTGCATAGTAAGTTATAGTACATGTGGTGGTACAGGTACAGATATATTGTATTGGTTGGGATTTTCTTCAAAGTACTGCCTAAAACCTCAGTGGTTTGTAACAATAGACATTTATTTTTTGATCCAAATTCTGCAGATTAAAAGAAGCATCTGTGCTTCAGACTCTGGATCAAGTTTAGGTCTGCTTTTTATTCTGTGTTTTTTATTCTGAAACCCAAGTTAAGGGGCCATAGCTATGTGTGCTGACCTTTTCTCACAATGAAGGCCAAAGCTCAAGAGGGAAAAATCAAATGATCCAAACCCATTCTAAGCTTTTGATTAGAAGCAGAATTTGGTATGCTTGTTCACAGGGTGCTGGCTAAAGCAAGACCCATGTCAATGTGATAAAGACATATATTCTGCATGGAGTGAAGAAGCTATTGCAAAGACAGGAAAGGGGAAAAAGAATTGTAAGTAGACAACACTGTCTACCTCACTACCAAACAGGCTCTCATTAGTGTATATGAAAATTATTCCTATTTTCACTATCATAAAATAGTATACAGAACATAAAATTTCTTTCTTATGTAATATGTAAGATATATGCATTTATTATGTGTATTCATTCTATGAGAAAAACTAGAAAAGGAAGAGTATTAAATACATTTTCTTGATAGAATTTCCCAAAAGGTCTTTAAAATATTGTATTCACTGTAGATCAATTTAAAAATAACTACCAATATTGGATCTTCTACACATCTGACAATTAAGTTCACAAACTCATCCTAGAAAAAGTGCCACATACCTCATTGCTAAATATCACTATTGTCACATTTGAAGTACTCTTGGGAAGGTATGCACCAGTGCCAGTGCCTAGTCCTCCCCTTCAAAGCCATTTGGAACTCTTTTTTGGAATGGCTATCAGAGCTGTCATCAAATTACCCTTAATGTCTTGAATGTCATCAAAATGTCCTTCTCTCAGTATTTCTTTTATCTTCAGGTAAAGCAAAAAGTCATTGTGGGCTAGATCAAGTGAGTAGGGAGGGTGTTCCATCCATTTATTTGTTTACTGGCCAAAAACTCCCTCACAGAGAGTTATGTCTGAGTTGGTGCATTATTGAGATGCAAGAACCATGAGTCATTGGTGAAAAGTTTAGGCTGTTTTCATCTAAATTTTTCATGTGCCCTTTCAGCACTTCCAAATAGCAAACTTGGTTAGCTGTTTGTCCAGTTGGTACAAATTTATAATGAACAATCCCTCTGATATCAAGAAAGTTTAGCAACATCATTTTGGCTCTTTGATTTGGATGGGCAGAATTTTTTAGTCATGGAGAATTGGCTGATTTCCATTGTGCACTTTGATGTTTTGTTTCAGCATCATATTGGTACATCCATGTTTCATCACCAGTGATAATGTTGCCCCAAACATCATTTTCCCTCTCCCAAAAGTCTTGGCAAACTTTGATTCTCCTTTTCCTTTGTTCATCAGTAAGCTCCTTTGGGACCATTTATGCACACATCTTTCTTATGCCAAGGTTTTATGTTAAGATTTTCCTACCTATTGATGTTTATTTGGTCTGCTGTGTTTCTCACAGTCAGCTAACAATTTGCATGACAATTTGATGAATTTTTGCAATGTTTTAATCAGTTACACGTGTTACTTACCACCCTGACCCCTTTTCATCAGTGACACTTTCTCTCTCCTCAGAAAAACATTTCATCTATTTTTACACTGCTGTTTTATTTATGGTATCATTCCCATGGATGTGGTCTAACATGTCCCTGATTTCACTTCTGCTCTTGCCAAGCTTAACAAGAAATTTAATATTTGTAATATTACAATTTTATATTCATTGCTACAATTCAAGCTCTGACATCATTTTTTTGATGGTGCACAAAAACATACGACAACAATAATGACTGCCACTCAGCAAGACACCAGAACATGTCAACATGAACACAGCTATAAGATAATGACATACCAAAGTTACAAAAACTTACTGAGTTGTTTGTAGAGTGCTGCCAACATAAGCACATGGTGGCAAGTTTGTAAACTTAATTGTCAGACTTTCATGAACATGGTATATATTACATTAATTTAGTCTTTTATTTCTCCCAGAAACATTGTAATTTTCAGTGTACAGTTCTAAAAGTTCTTAGGTTAAATTTATTCTTAAGGCTTTTGTCCTTTCTGATGTTATTACACACAAATTTAATCCTTTTAAAAGTTTGTTTCAAGTGGCCCATTACAATTATATAGAAATATAATTGAGTTTTGTATATTGATTTATATTTTACAACTTTGCTGTACTTGGTAATGTTCTAGTAGATGTTTTATAGATTCCTCAGCATTTCCTACCTACAGAGATTATATTTTCTATGAGTAAAAACAGTTATATTTCTTCCTGGAAAAGATTGTATTCATTTTCTCTCCTGCTCATCCCTCCATTCAAAGAAAGTTCTTTAAGAGGAATTGGGAGATTTTTAGAAGATGGTACAGTTTTAAGAGGTGAGGCTCTTTGGTCTGCTATATTTCTTACAATCAGCTAACAATTTTGATGACAATTTGATGAATTTTTGCAATGTGAAGAATAAAGAGGATCAGTATTGGAACTGCCACCTGGATATGGAGAAAGGAGGCAGAGGACCAAGGAGGCAGGAAACCCAAAGTAAGAGGAAACAGTGGGGTCCAGAAGACAAATACTGGGCAAATATAAAGAATTCTGGTTATCTCATCAAAGGTATTGATGGTATTATTTCTGTGTTACTATCATTTTATAAGTGTGGGTGCCCCCTTTACTTTGAAAGATTTTTTCCTAATACAGCCAAAGACATAAGAAATATAGCTTATTATACCTATTTCAAAGGTATAAATTTTGACTGTGGTTTCTATATAGGTTACAAGAAATCTGTCTATCAGATTACACAAAATTACCACAGTTTTAGCTCCTTTTCAACCTAGTGTCATAATCATTTTTTTCCTGTAAGAAGAACTTTGTACAGACAGATGGACTAATTCAGTCTGTATTAGCATCTTCTGCCTCATACCCTGGGAAGCTCCTCTCACATCTTCCTTTGACCCACAAGTATGAAGAACTGACATTTGAGTAGACATCTTGGCTCTTGAATCTGTTCCCCATGCCGAACACTGGTTGATCAGCAAATACCTAGTATTAGATGAGTTCTGCATGTCAGCTATGGGAATAATCTGGCATAAAATGGAGTTTACATTATCCCTGAATGGTTAAAGAAAGTTAAGAAAATGCAAGTTGGAGACCATGGCAGTGCTTAATTCTGGAGAATCTATGACTTCTGCCCATATAGTGAACATTGTCTTCATGTCCCTCTTCCCCTATTGGAGTAATGACCCTATTTTACATGTCTTTTATCAACTTACAGAAAATAAAAGCACCAATATTGCTCACCTGGCAGGTAGAGTACATGGAAGTGATCAATGCTTGGCCAATTAGATGAACCACCTTATTTTGAATGTAGAGATAGCAGTGAAAAGAGCTGGGCATTTCTTCCTTGTGATGGTAGTAGTATCCAGTTTCTAGGCATCCAAGGGCTAAGCCTAGTGACTATTGCTGGCATTGTTGGCAGGGGTGCAAGCTGCAGTGAACAGAATTTACTGACTACAGAACTACAGACTAGTTATAGGCTATGATTATGACTGTGCCTCTGACTATATACCTTTCTTATTCTTGTCCATGTTTTTTGAGCCTTAGAAATTCACAAGCCCAACTTGTCCTTTCAATAAACTCATTTCTTTCATGAATAAGCCAGAATTTGGTTTCAGTTCCCCCAATCTAAAAACTCTGAGAGTTACAATGTTGGTATTTAATTGTAGGCCCAGAGAACACTCTCAATTATAGTTGAAGCATATAAATGTCTTAACACAATAACTAAGAAAAAGACATGAAGGCTATGTTAACCAGTTGGATGAAAGTATTTCAAATTGTATACAGAAACAGTGCACTGTACCCCATGATAGTATTAATGTACACTGCTATGATTTAATAAAAAAAAAAAGTTATAGTTGAAGCAATTCTAGTGTTTTACATAAGTACATGGTGGTTCCTTTTTTTTGCATGTGCTCTGGATATCTAAATATCTAAAGAGAAAATTCATTTTATGTACCTAATTTAGATATTTCTGAGAAGTTCTAAAGGAATGCAATCTGTGAGGCACAAAATTGTTTCTCAAGAATCAAAGTAGTTCAAACCTGGCCCCAGCCAAAAACTGCAAACAAACATACAAACAAACAAACGAAAACAAAGGTAAATTTCTGAACCATGTTTGGGATTTTATCTAAAGAAAAGTCTATAGTCTGTTCATCCATTTCTTGAAGGCTCCCCTGATATCCCCATTCCTCAAGCTATATATGAAGGGGTTCACCATGGGGGTCACCACTGTGTACATGACTGTCACAATGCGGCCTTTGGTCACTGAATAGCTGGAAAGGGGCCGGAAATAGACCCATGTGAGGGTGCCATAGAACATAGCTACCACACTGATGTGGGAGCCACAGGTGGAAAAGGCTTTCCACTTGCCCTTGGCTGAAGGGATTCGGAGGACTGCTGAGATGATGCAGGCATAGGAGGCAATAATAAGGGCCAGAGCTCCATTGATGACAATAACACCTTCTGTGTGAATCATCAGGGTGTTGAGATGTGTGCTGGTGCAGGAGATCCTCATCAGAGGGTAGAGGTCACAGAAGAAGTGGGGGATCCTGTTGTCTCCACAGAAGATCAGCTGGCCCATGAGAAAAGTATGCAGCAGGGCATGAAGGTGGGAGAGGATATGGCACATGGTCACCATCTGCACACACAGTACTCTGGTCAGGATCATAGGGTAGCGGAGAGAGTGGCAGATGGCAATGTATCTGTCATAAGCCATCACAGCTAGGAGGAAGTTTTCCATGGCTGCAAAACAAATGAAGAAATAAGTCTGGGCTAGGCAGCCCATGTAGGAAATGGTCTTTGTAGGGGAGAAGATATTCTGCAGCATCTTAGGCACAGTGGTGGAGGTGAAGCAGATGTCTGCTAAGGCCAGGTTACTGAGGAAGACGTACATGGGGGTGTGGAGGTGGGGATCAGAGATAATCAGTGTGATGATGACAAAGTTGCCAGAAATGCTGACTATGTACATGAGTAGAAAAAGAAGGAAGAGTGGGATCTGCTCTTCTGAGTGGGTAGATATGCCCAGGAGAACAAAATGAGATACACTGGTCCAGTTGGTATTGTCCATCTGTTCCCATAAGAACAAAAGAATTATTTTTATTGACTTGGACATAGGAACAGTAACTGTTTAGTTACTGTTGCACCCCAGGATAAAACTGGTGTTAATCAAAGGATCAAGTGCTCATAATTTTCCAAAATAATATGGATTTTTCATTATCATTAACATTATTACTATCACCATGGCAACATTTACAAGGCATTTGCCTTGGACCAATGGCATTTCTGCATTATCATATTTAAGTCAGTAAGTCCTGAGGCAATTATTATTTTTTTATTTCAGTTTTACACATTAGAAAACTGAGGCTTGGAAAATTTAAGCTCATAAAGGAAAAAATCTGAATTTAAGTCATGCCTATCTGGCTCCAAAGGCTATACTGTTAGGCACTATATAAAGAACTCCTTAAATTTAAACCAAGACACCATACTCATGATAGTAAGTTCCATTGATGATCTGTATAACCAAAGAATCTCCCTGCTGAAAGGATGTTAGAGGGCATTTGGTTCAGTAAGTTTCACTTTGTGGGATGCCTGCTCTTGCCAACATCCAAAACCTTCTCAAAGAGTACGCAGACATAGCTTTAGCAGAATATGTTTCTTAATTTCCATATTTCTTTTTTCTAAACTCATCTTTTCTTTGAGGTATAACCTGATCCTTACTCCTATGTAAAAAGTGAAAATCAAATAGCAATAGAATTGGTGATAATTTTTACTTTCTTTACTAATAAATGAAACTTGGTTTTGGATATATGAACTAAGAACCAATTATTCTATTAGATGCCTTTAATTAAAACTGTATTATTTAGGTATAGTTCAAACTTTGTGTTATATAACTATGTGAAATTACCATTTTTGAAAGACAAAATAGGTGAACATTAGCAGCATTATGTAATTGAAGCTAATCATATAATTTTGGTTGGTTGTTTACTACTACTAATTGTAAAAATAATTCAGATTATTTTTAACACTTAAAATTTTATGGCCATAAGAAATTAAAAATAAATTTTATGGGTTTTTTATTGTGAAAAGTAAGATAGGTGATTATAAAATACTTTCCAGCATAAAAATTTATTACAAAAGAATAAAGTTTGTATAGAGGAAGACAAATGGAAATACATATTCAAATTGAAAAGGAATGATGTAAAACTCATAGCAATTAAGGATGTCCTTGTTCTTGCATTTAAAAAATAGATAATGTAAGTATCAAGTCACCCTAGTGTTTAGATGCTACTGGATATATTTTAAGAAATAATGTAGTTCTGTCTTGAAAGTATGACATACTGTATAGCATATCCCTACAACTATTTAAACATCTGATTAATAATTTCACATTCCTGTCTTTAAAAGTGCATAGGTTTTAATTATAGAGTATTCGAGCAAAAACTATAAAGGCTATAGATTTAACCAAATCTTATAATCAATGTTCATCTCCTTTATAAGCTCTTGGAAAAATGAAGATCCTTCCTCCTCTTGAATGCTTTCAGTGGCAGTAAGCTCTAATTGTCAGAGTTCTGTCTATAAGAGAAGCTGAAATATGATTGCCTCTCATCTCTGTCCACTGGAATAAGTCTGATCCTCTGGGATCTCACAGACCAAGCCTTTCATTCTCAACATTAAAATCCTTGAGAATTCTAAATGTCAACCAGCAAAGGCAGCACTACTACAGTTTTCTCATCTGTAAAATGGGATGTTAATAGTACATTACTCTTAAAAGTTGACATGAGGATTAAATGAAAGCATGTGATCCCTGACAAGTGTTTAATAAAGGGCTGAAAATTCTTTCAAATGATTTTTTGGTCTTGTTGAAAATAGAGTATCTGGATTATTCTGTCACCCAAGTTTCTCTATTGTGAATGTTGCCGTTAGGGTCTCACGGAAAAGCCATGTTGCAGAGAATAAGCACATTTATTGAAATTGTATTTTAAATAAAGGTGACCATTTGCTCACTCAGGCAAAATAGTGAGCTTCTTTATTTACTGTTGGTTTAGATAGTCAATTTGGCACATGCGCACTATACATCAATGACCTCATTAATATTCATTACAATCTCTCTGCACTTGTGCATTGGATATCAATGACTTCCCTCTGCACATGTGCATTGGACATCAATAACTTCATTAATCCATTTAAACATTTTGTGACTACCTCATGAATAGTTCCTCCCTAGTAATCTGATAATCCACCCAACCTACACCTTTTAACATAACTCTTTCAACATAACTTAATGGAGAACATGTTGTTCTTATCTGATGAAGTCTGAAGCTATGGAAGAAAGAGACAGTTTGAAAATCTGTCCTACTGACCTTGCCATTTGGAGGCAATTATTTCAATCTTTAAACAAGACATAAAGAAATTTCTAGGACATACAGAAATTTGTTTGCAAACCTCTGCTCCCATGTGGGCCTTAAGTCAGGGGGGTTTTACACCTGCAACCGACCAGGCCAACCTTAGGTCAGGGGGGTTTGAGGCCCACAACCAACCTGGCCATGTGGGATTCTGCCTCAGTTTTTCACAAGTATGCCTGCATAAAGTCTTTTCACTGCTCTCTCTCAAACAGCTTTTTTTGCCAGAGGCATATAGGCCTTTCACATATAGTGAAACTGTTCCACTTTGTTCTCAAAAATTGTGGTTCCTAGAACCAACCAAGGTTCTGTGAGTTGGATCTTTCATTATAGGATAATCACAATGAATTCATTCTGTCATAGATAACAACCAGATAGCCTTTTTAAGATGAGGATCAGAATTGGCAATTCATACATAAGCTATTAGGGCTATTTAAAGAATTCATAGACTTTTCAGTTTGGTTATTGAAAGAAAAAGTGCAAACCATTAAGAAATGTCCCTGTGTAAGACGCTTTTACATATACCTTTACATAAAATTTTATACTTTTATGAACACACACTTATACATATATCATCTCATATAATTCTTATGGTAATCCTAAGACATATCTAGCTATGTTCTTGCAACAATCACTTATTATCCTTATTCCACAGATGGGAATACCAAGGCTTAAGGATGTAAGGTGATTTGCTTGATATAACTTAGTGTTAAGTGGTGGCTAGACTTCACACTGATGTCTAGATACCTTGAGTGCTCATATGTGCTGATTGCCCATTTCATTTATTTAGCTTCTCCACAAAATTAGATTTATCTATCACTGGTCTGTCCACCTTTATGGCTCAAGTTAAAAGATGCCACCATGGTACAACTCAAAAGAACATTCAGTGTTTCAATTATAGAAATGTAGCAGTTCATAATATGGCATTGAGTATCTGAATTGATTTCCATATGGCATGATGATGAATGAGAACTAAAAGTGGTAGTCGCATTTACTGAGCAAGTACTGTATGCCAGGAATTATTCTAGGAGCTTTAATCTATGTGTTCATGTGATCAGAGCAACTCTGTGATATAAGTATTGTTATCTCCACTTTACAGATGAGGAAACTGAAGCTAAGAGGGATTCTGTAACATGCCCAAGATCAGAGTGCATATGTTGTAGAAATGAAATGTGTATTCAGTTCTGTCTGACCTCAAAGTCTTAACCATGGGGCGATGCCACCTCTTTTCTCTCACTATTCCAGTTTTTACTTTCCTCTTTGTTTCTTGCTTTTCCACTGCTCTATCCTGTGCATGGACCAATGATAGTGCCTATCATATTTTTTCTAGTTTAATCCTCATTATAAAACTAGAGGGTGGATATTATTATCTGAAGATCATGAAACGGAGGACTGGAGAAATGAATTAACTCCATAAGGGTCACAGAGAGGAAGGATTGGATCCAGGTTGCTCACAAATCAGTTTACCTCAGAAGAAATGCCCTTCTCTCCTACTTCATCCATTTAACACCTGTGTTCATTCTCTTTCTGTGCTTCCCCCCCACGTTTTAAGCCTGTTACTGTAATCAGGCTTTTCAAATGAAAGTTTACAGTTTACCTTCCAAGCTGGGCATCAGGTAGCCCTGAAATTATGGTTTAGGAAACACAGGATATCTCTTTTTATATCTTAGGGAAGACCAAAGAATGGACTGAGCTATACTTGGCCCTGTGCCTGCTACCTGGGCCGATGTCCTGTGATGACAAAGCTACACACGAGGCTGGAGCGAGTCCCAGTGGTAGTTGGAGGGGAGCTTCCTGGAACCTTGGCATCCTCCTTCTCTTCTTCTTGGTCAGAGATTATCCTACCTGACCAATAGTGTAGCATGGGAAGCTGTTGGCTACATAGGGCGCTACAAGAGGAGAATCTTGCTTTATAAAAAGGTATGGCTAAAAAGTAGTGTGGTATGAGCATGTGGGAATGACCCAGGAAGATCCAGGCTCTGTTCCCCTGTCTGCCATGAATATTTTACCTTGGGAAAATCACTTCCCTTCTTGGGGGACTCAGTTTCTTCATCTGGGAAATGGGGAAAATAATAACTGCTTTCATTATATAAACTTTATTAAAAAGACAGAAGAGACTACAGACATGAAGATACTTTTTTTTTTACAAGTCTGTATGAAACAGTGAGACATTTTAAATTCCTATAGGAACCTAGACTCCTTATCACAGAGTAGGTCCCCGTAAACTGGTGACAATCTGATTCACAGACTGCCCTTTGTAATAGAGGAGGCACTTGGATAACACACTTTAATATATTCTCTGAGTTTTCTCATTTGATCATTAATTCCCAGAGGTAAGAAGAAATATCTGAGTCCATTTGTCAAGAGACGACAAAGAGGCCAGCCATGTCCAGAGGATGTTTTCTGGATCACCTAACTCTGCTTACTCATGATACTTTCCCAACTGACACTTTGTGGAGTGCTTTAGTTATCTTCTTGACCCATGGAAAATTTCTCTGAAAGGAATTAGAGACTATTTAAATCATTTATGCATGTTTATGAACAGGATTTTTAATGAAGGTAAGTGAGAGAGTCCATGAAGATACAGTGTATCTGAGGATGGTATAGGGAAGATACACTCTGTAGGGAGGAAAAAGACAAAACAAGATTTATGGGGTTAAAGACCAAC